CCTAAAGATTTTAAGTATGTCCTAAAGATTTTAAGTATTTCCTAAAGATTTTAAGTATGTCCTAAAGATTTTAAGTATGTCCTAAAGATTTTAAGTATTTCCTAAAGATTTTAAGTATGTCCTAAAGATTTTAAGTATTTCCTAAAGATTTTAAGTATGTCCTAAAGATCTTAAGTATGTCCTAAAGATTTTAAGTATTTCCTAAAGATTTTACGTATTTCCTAAAGATTTTAAGTATGTCCTAAAGATTTTAAGTATTTCCTAAAGATTTTAAGTATTTCCTAAAGATTTTAAGTAGTTCCTAAATATTTTAAGTATTTCCTAAAGATTTTAAGTATTTCCTAAAGATTTTAAGTATGTCCTAAAGATTTTAAGTATTTCCTAAAGATTTTAAGTATTTCCTAAAGATTTTAAGTATGTCCTAAAGATTTTAAGTATGTCCTAAAGATTTTAAGTATTTCCTCCAATGCTTTTATACGAGTCATTTCCAAAGATTTTAAGTAGGTCCAAAGATTGTAAGTATTGCCGAAAGATTGAAGTAGGTCCTAAAGATTTTAAGTATGGCCCTAAATTTTAAGTTTGCCTAAAGATTGAAGTATTTCCTAAAGATTTTAAGGTATTTCCTAACGATTTAAGTATTTCCAAAAGTTTAAGTAATTTCCTAAGATTTTAATTATGTCCTAAAGATTTTACCTTCTGTCCTACAGCTTTTAAGGTATGTGCCTAAAGTATTTTAGGATGTCCGAAGAGGTTTAAAGGTACTATCTAAAGATTGAAGTATTCCCTAAAATTTTAAGTAGTTTGCCCAAAGATTTTAAAAGTATGTCCTAAAAGATTTTTTAATAGTATGTCCTAAAGATTTTAAGTATGTCCTAAAGATTTTAAGTATTTCCTAAAGATTTTAAGTATTTCCTAAAGATTTTAAGTATTTCCTAAAGATTTTAAGTATGTCCTAAAGATTTTAAGTATGTCCTAAAGATTTTAAGTATGTCCTAAAGATTTTAAGTATTTCCTAAAGATTTTAAGTATTTCCTAAAGATTTTAAGTATTTCCTAAAGATTTTAAGTATTTCCTAAAGATTTTAAGTATTTCCTAAAGATTTTAAGTATTTCCTAAAGATTTTAAGTATTTCCTAAAGATTTTAAGTATGTCCTAAAGATTTTAAGTATGTCCTAAAGATTTTAAGTATTTCCTAAAGATTTTAAGTATTTCCTAAAGATTTTAAGTATTTCCTAAAGATTTTAAGTATGTCCTAAAGATTTTAAGTATTTCCTAAAGATTTTCAGTATTTCCTAAAGATTTTAAGTATTTCCTAAAGATTTTAAGTATTTCCTACAGATTTTAAGTATGTCCTAAAGATTTTAAGTATGTCCTAAAGATTCTAAGTATTTCCTAAAGATTTTAAGTATTTCCTAAAGATTTTAAGTATTTCCTAAAGATTTTAAGTATTTCCTAAAGATTTTAAGTATGTCCTAAAGATTTTAAGTATTTCCTAAAGATTTTAAGTATGTCCTAAAGATTTTAAGTATGTCCTAAAGATTTTAAGTATGTCCTAAAGATTTTAAGTATGTCCTAAAGATTTTAAGTACTTCCTAAAGATTTTAAGTATTTCCTAAAGATTTTAAGTATTTCCTAAAGATTTTAAGTATGTCCTAAAGATTTTAAGTATTTCCTAAAGATTTTAAGTATTTCCTAAAGATTTTAAGTATTTCCTAAAGATTTTAAGTATGTCCTAAAGATTTTAAGTATGTCCTAAAGATTTTAAGTATTTCCTAAAGATTTTAAGTATTTCCTAAAGATTTTAAGTATTTCCTAAAGATTTTAAGTATGTCCTAAAGATTTTAAGTATGTCCTAAAGATTTTAAGTATTTCCTAAAGATTTTAAGTATGTCCTAAAGATTTTAAGTATTTCCTAAAGATTTTAAGTATTTCCTAAAGATTTTAAGTATTTCCTAAAGATTTTAAGTATGTCCTAAAGATTTTAAGTATTTCCTAAAGATTTTAAGTATGTCCTAAAGATTTTAAGTATTTCCTAAAGATTTTAAGTATTTCCTAAAGATTTTAAGTATTTCCTAAAGATTTTAAGTATTTCCTAAAGATTTTGAGTATGTCCTAAAGATTTTTGATTCTATTGATTTTGAATATGTCCTAAAGATTTTTGATTCTATTGATTTTGAATATGTCCTAAAGATTTTTGATTCTATTGATTTTGAGTATGTCCTAAAGATTTTGATTCTATTGATTTTGAATATGTCCTAAAGATTTTTGATTCTATTGATTTTGAGTATGTCCTAAAGATTTTTGATTCTACTGATTTTGAGTATGTCCTAAAGATTTACCCGCTGGTTATAAAAAACCTGGTTGGTGGTTGACCTACCCCTCTGAAAAATATGAAAGTCAGTTGGGATTATTCTTCCCAACTGAATGGAAAAATAAAAAATGTTCCAAACCACCAACCAGTTGACCATTTCGGGGAAAATGATGGATTTTGGACCATAGGTTTACCTGTGGATTTAAGGTGTGTCCATGTAAATGTTCTGACAAACCCATGAGGGTCACACCTGAGGTTAATGGACCCACGAGTTTTGCGGAAAGAACTTGCAGGACACAGGAGTTGTTTGGGGTCCCTGTAAAGTTTCCCTTAAGCCGGGTCTATAGACGTCATCCCAAAGGGGTGTGTGGGTCACAGATCACTCAGTGGATCAACGTCGGAAATATCTCCATCCAACGACAAGTGGACGATGTTTGCCAGAAACCCAAGTGAGTCTGGGATCTAACCCACGCAACTCATGAAGGGCATAACATGGCATAACCGAAACAACAAGCCACAGGAGTCAACTGGACGTGGTTCAGTTGGATCTGGCTATGTAGTCTTGGGAAATTCTACAGCTAGCCAAGCAGCTCCATGGGCAGGCCACCTTCCCACAGGGCGAACAGCCGACCTGGCGCTGGTGCTGCATTGGAGCTGAAGAGTATGGATACAACCAACATAAACCTACGTATGGTCCTATGTGTCTTATATGTTTTTATTTTTATCATCATCGTCCACTGGTCCACTTGTTTTTTTCCACTTTTGTTGGGTAAATCCGGTAAATCTGCCCAGCTTTTTCTTCACGGACACCCAGCTGGTGCGGCGAAGCGCCGCGGCTTCGCTTGCCTGCCCAATGCATCACGTTGGTGTTGGCCAGGTTCTTGACCCTCATGTCAAAAGCCTGGCATCACCCACCAACATGGCCTGGCCTGGCCAAGTCAGCACATGGAAACTGTTGAAAATAGGTTGGATCCTCAAAAAAAGACTGGTTAAGCAGATATGCCCTCTGGTAAAGTAACATAGCTATGGAAAATCACCATTTTTAATGGCTAAATCCACTATTTCTATGGCCATGTTCAAGTTCGCAAACTGTAAACGTTTACCAGAGGGTATCCCATTCGATAGATCATTTCACCACACCAGCCATCTATCGACATCCCAGCTGCATTGGCCAAAAATCCACCCGACTTCTGCGAGAATTGGCCGCGGTAGAGCCTCGGAAGCGTGACCAATTCTGCCAGAAATGAGGGATTTGCCCCCGGCCTTCATTGGAAGATTGATGAAGATTGAAATGTTATACCGTTTATACCTTTGAATTTATGATATGTATGGCTTCTCCCCAGTTTTTGAGGAAAAAATTGTCAAAGATCCCCCAGGTTGACGCAGAATGGCCACCCAACATCTTTTTCGCTTCCAGCTCCTCCACAAAGCCAGGAGTGCGGACGTAGCGATTCCTGATGCGGCGGCAACGTGATGAATCACGATGCCAGCAACCTTTTTGTGCACCAACGTCAAGAACATTTTTTTGAGGGGGGGTTATTTCGGGATTGTTTTGTCAAGCACAAGACTGAAATGTTCGGTGATTTGGGGATTCCTCTTACCCATCATGGTGAGGTCGTTGTGAGGTCGCTATATACCTGGAAAACCATAAAGACAAAATGTTCTGTCCGTACGGGTTTTGACATTTTTTTTGTCCGGTACGATTTTTTCCAAATACGGCCATGTCCGGCTGCAAACCCTCTACTTACATCAGTAGTTTTCCTGAAATCTTGGATTTGTCGGACTGGTTCCGACAGTATGAGTGTCTCGTCTAGAGAAACCAGTTTACACTGCTGCCAAGTGAAACCAGTAAAAAATCCTCTCAGCATGTTTTTCAAGTTGAAATCGGTCACACCTTGTGCTATTTGGACATATCATAGCAACCCCCAGAAAGTGTCAAAACGGTTCAATTCAATCACCAGCAAATCTAGAGGGTTTTACCACTTTTCTTTGGGGGTTCTTTAAATAACGTGATCCAACCATCTCCATTATGGGTTATCCCATTTGTAGTTGGAAAATACGCCCCAGTTGCCAACCACAGCCATCACCGTTACCCCCAGAACGCCATGCCTGAAATGCGCATGGCCGGTACCATCGAAAGTCACGGCGCAAACCTCAGTCGATCGCTTCCAGCTCAGTCGCTACGAATCAGTCGGGTTTTCTCGTAGTCCAGAGCTATACCCTCTGGGAATTTCACACTGCTATGGAAGATGACAAATACCCTCTGGTAAACTCACATAACTATGGAAAATCACCATTTTTTATGGGTAAATCAACTATAAATGACCATTTTCAATAGCTATGTTAAATTACCAGGAGGGTACATGATTAAAAAGAAAGCAAGGACAATTTGCCGAGTTGAAAAGTTGAAATGCTGACTTTCCAGAGCTTTGTTATATTTTTAGGGGGGCATCCAATGCTATGGTTTGTCAAAAATGTCAAGAAGAATCGGAAACCCCCAACTCATCTCAAATCCGATGGTACAAGTCATAGTATATAAGAAATTGTCCCATCAATGGCAATATTCGTTGGAGTTAAAAACCACCACTTCTGCTCCCATTGTTCTTGTCATTCTTCATGATTCTTCGTGTTTCTTCTGGGGAATGTAGTCAATGTAGTCAATCCCTACATTGTGCTGGGTGTAGCATTGGACATGATGACATAAGCACATCGCACACCACTTTTGAATGTCGAAAAAGTCAACAACGACCATCTTGCTCGTCTCAACTGTCGCAGCTCTGAAGCGTTGCTTGCTCCACAGATCGCCGGCGCTCTTGCTTCCCATCACCCCGAAGCCTAACTCTCGTGCCACAGCTCCGAATGGTCGCCACAGAAAGTTCAACTTCTGCCACAGAAATGGCCTCTTCCACCTAAATGCTTGGCCATATTTTTGGAAGCCTCTCACTCTTCGGTGGTCTCCAGAGGTCTCCAGAGGTCTCCAAGTTTGTTCCTCCAGCTTTGTCGAGATGCCATGCTCGGAACAATCCAAGGACGATCATCAGAGAGAAGGAGACTTCACTCGCATAAAATCTGCCTTTGCCAAGAAAAACTTGTGCCAATTCCACCGCTGCAGGGAAGCTTCACGGGTCAGCCACTGCAGTTGAGGGCCCAACCTTGGGTTAAAAAAGACGCAACAAACGCGGACGTATGCACGCCTACTAGTAACAACATAAATAAAGATATGGGTTTGTCTGAAAATAGGGTATATTCCAAATTATAGATAGGGATAATGATCATTAACCATTGGGTTTAGGGGTACACTATTTTCAGACACACCCATATTGAGTGTACCTGATGAGTGGTTTCAACCTAGAGCCATTGGTCTTCATCGCAGATCAACAGCAACCATACTTTTTTGTTGCATTCCGCTCAAGCGAGGCCTGGTCAATAGGGATGCCCCCTTCATGGCTTATGATCTTGGCCAGTATATCTAACCCCCGCAACAGTCAGCGACCAACAGTGGTTTTGAACAGCACTGAACAGCCCATCATTGCGATTCGAGGCGAAACCAGGTCCGAGTCGCTTGAACTTGAAATCCTCCCAAACTTTTCGCTCCGGCATTGTCCAAGCGAGCTCTGCGACGGCAAGGAGTCGTGGAAATAGCATCTCCTGCCACAAAGACGTCGCAGGAATTCCTCATATTCACAAACTGGGGAGAGTTACCCGTGAAAGAAAAAAAACTGCGAAAATGAGACAAATTGCCATTTGAATAGGGAAAAGCTGACTAAACGACTATAAACCATCGAACTTGTTGGCATCCTACTTGGAGACAGACCCAAAATACTAGAGCTCACATGAGTGCACAGTTGCCTCTTTTTTCAAAAAAACTGAAAAAAAAATAAAGTATGATACCAAAACTAACAAATGGATAACCATTGTTAGTGCAGTTGGATACTGGTTAAGGCGATGAAGCAATGGCAGTTGGATACTAACATGTTCTAACCATGGCCAATCGCAGTACCCAACTGCCATTCTAAGCCGTCCACCCAACGCCTGCGCGCGTTCTTCGGACTCCACCGTCTCCGTCCACAGATTCGCCTGGACGCCGCGCAGCCGCTGCACCGCATCCGCCCGGAGCCCGAGGCGTTTCAGGCGCTCCAGCGGCTCGTAGTCGTAGACCCGGTGCAAGGGCAAGGCAGGGGCTGCCCAGTAGAGACCCCTGATGTCAACAGAAAGGGGGAACCAACACTGATATTAGGGCATACAATTGATATAATATATATATATATAATCTCTATGTATACATATATATATAACAACAGTGTGATTTGACAACAGCCCTATAGTATTGTATAGTCTGGTTCTATCACAGGTCACCCTTCCCAGTACCTTGACAGAATTGTTTGAGTCTTCACACACCATGTGCGATCAGTTTGAAGACGCTCGTGGTGTACAACTCCAAAAACAAATCACAGCCTGACTCTCATCATGACACATCCATGTGAACATTTATTTGACCCAACAAGCTTTATAAGAACTTGTCGATCTGCCGATTTCTGGCAAGCAGCTTGTCTTCGAAGTTGAGATCCTGCACGATGTCCAGGTACAAGAAATGAGCAGGACACAAGATGATGTCCAACCCAACATTCGCTGCCTGCACTGCAAATCTCTCATCATCTTTCCATGCCATCGCTGCTGGCCGGGGATCTGCGTTCGGAACAACTCCGCTGTTTCCTGCAGGACAAGGCAAGAGACCCTGAGGAAAATGTTGCCTTGAAACCACATCATATGTTGTGATGGAGAGTGCGGCGCTGGTGAAAGAGCCATTCTCCAAGAAACAAGTGAGCCAATCTTGTCTGTGAATTTAACCCAAACATATATATGTCGTATTGGATCATCATCCCAAATCACCAGGTGAATTCAAATCATCATCCCAAACCACCAGGTGATGTTTTTTTTTTACATGTGAAAAATCACCAGACTTGTTCCATGGTCAGAATTTCCCATCCAGCGCCACATCCGCCCCATCCAGCGCCACAACTCGTCCTGAGAAGGCTTCCTCCCACGCCAGCATCGCGCGGCCGCGCGCCCCCAGGAACTCTTGCAGCCAGGCCGCAAGCATCGCCTTCAGCCGCTCCTGGGGCCGAAAGCGACCACACGAGTTTAACCACACCAAAAATGTCAATATCCAAACAACTCTCACTTAACAGGGCATATGTTTCACTCTTTTCTTATCTTCCAACTCTGGAATTTTCATGAATTTTCCAACTCAAAATCAACCAATCGCCTACTTGTCGAAACCCCAAATCGGAATCCATCAACATCTCCTCCTCCTCCGGCTGTTGGCTCCAAGCCCTGGCTGGAATCTCATCCATCCCCACGTGCACGGGCCCCGGGAACAGCTCCAGCACTTCGATCAGCACCGCCTCCAAAAACGCGAAGGTCACCTCCGCGCGGACGTCCAAAACGTTGCCGCGGAAGCCTGGGAGAAGTTGAACCCGGGATTATGATGCCATATATATATATATATATACATATAGATAGATAGTCATCCCCAAATAGATGGAAAAGTAAATCCCTACTAATTTGATGGTGATTTACTTTTCCATCTATTTGGGGATGACTATATATATATATATGTATTATAAAATATAAACATATCTAATAGTGGTTATAATACGAATAATAGGGATTATAATATGGTTATATATGGTGATAGTAATACTACTAATAATTATTATTGGTATTACTAATAATAATAGTGGTTATAATACCAATAATAGTGATTATGTATGGTTATATGATGGGATTATGATATATAGATAGAACATAACTGGTTGGTGGTTGACCTACCCCTCTGAAAAATGATGGAGTTCGTCAGTTGGGATCATTATCCCCAATATATGGGAAAAATAATAAATGTATATAAATGTTCCAAACCACCAACCAGATAAAAAAGAAAAAAGACAACTGGGAGGTTGACCATGAAACAGCTTTTACCAACACATGGCCAAGGAAAATATGGGCATTTTTTGGTATTTTTGGGGGTAATTGAGTGGGAATTAAATGGTAATCCACATATTTTGATAGATGTTCACCATTTACCACTCATTTGCCTCTGTAGGTTATGATTGTCCAGCTTCTTTCGGATTTGTCCGCTGGGCTGCTGCCGCTTAAGCTGTTTGGCTGGAATCCAAGAGTTTCGAGATGTAAACATACATACAAAATCATAGAAATGTATTCAAAAAACTGGAAGACGCTCATCCCATAGACATCTCCAAACACTTTTCAGAAGCACCGTGCCGTGCCTTGCACACTGCGCGGAGCCTTTCGTTTCTCCACCGTTTTGGCCAACTCTGGGAGCGCCTGCAGGGCGGCGTAGCAGTGCCCAGGGACGTCGATCTCGGGGACCACGGTGATGCCACGCTGCTCAGCATAGCGCAGCACCTCCCGGACGTCGTCGTGGCTATAAAAGCCGCCATACCTCAGGGAGACCATGGTTTTTCGGTGACTCGGGGGAAACCTTTGGATTAAAATCTTTGAAAATTTGAAATATTCGAAGTTAGGCTGGATTCAGTGCTAACATCGATCCACAGAAAATAGTTTGCACCATGTCCCCTGCCAGTCTCACATGGATATGCCCCATATCATCTCTGGATCACGTCGCAGCACCTCCTCGGGTCGCCACCATACTGTGGCTCGATGACGTGGCCGCGGCCACGGAAGGCACCGTGCGTTGTCAGGTTGGGCAAGGAACGGATCTCCAACCTCCAGCCCTCATCGTCAGTGAGGTGCCAATGGAAGACATTCAGTTTGTACAAAAACATCCAATCCTGAGCTTCAAAAACATTGGATGTTCCGAGAAATCCTTTTTTGTTTAGTGAGAAAATCAGATTTTCGATGGAAAATCAAATATGTTCTCTGTCTACAATCTCTGAAGGGATATTTGAACCCCAGACTTGGTTTCGGTTTATCGGTTGATCAAACCAACACAGTGAATGTAACTTGAAACCGGAAGAGACCAGGCGCAGTTTCGCACCCTTTGCGTTTGTGGTTGGGTTGCTTGATGTGTCTCATGAAAGAATCTTGGGAGAGTAGCTGTTCCAGGTATATGGAACATAGACAGGATCTACAGGGATTGTTCAAACCACATTCTCATGGAAAGTGTAAAGCATGATTTGGCAAATCATAGATCTGTAATTACTATATATACATATATACATGTGTGTGTGCAAAAAAAGAAATTGCTAAGAAACGCGACGCCTGTGACGAAGTATGGTCTTGGTTAAGCCATTCAGCCCAATGATGGGCAAATCAATCAGCAATACATGACTGCTTATATAACCAATGTACAATGTCTCCTTGAGCAAGATAAGCCAAGACTCAAGACCCACCGAGCTGCACATTTCACTTGCTTCTTTATTGCAGTATATGTCCGAAATCCATATCTATCCAAAAATACATATATATATATATATATAAATACAAACAAACAAAAAAACCTCACCAGCCAAAAGAAATGCCATTGGCTAAATGATAGTGTTTATCTCCATGTTTTTTGTGATATCACCGACTCAAACTCAGCCCCTAAGTCATCCAAGTCATCCAAGTCATCCAAGTCTCCAACAAGCGCTTCACGAAGCTCACGGGGAAGAAGTGCCTGGCCACGTCCAGCATCAGTCCCCGGTGTCCGAAGCGCGGCCGGTCGCGCAAGATCTGCGCGGGGACGCGCGGCCAGCCTTCAGCCAGGGCAATGCCGAAGAGCTGACGGATGCTGGCGACCCCACGGAGGAAGCCTTCCTGGAGGTGGAAAAAAGTGGTTAAGGGAGGGGGAAGAAAAATTGGGATCTTAGCATGCCTTGTCTCAGGATGAAATCCCTATCTTTCCCATAAATTTGCCCAAGAATTTCACGGTTCATAGTTCACTAAAATTGTGTTAATCCCAATGTCTCATCTTAATCCATCTTATGGAGCTGAAAATCCCATAGTTCCATATAGTTCCCAAGAAAAATCACCCCGGTTCTCATGACCTGTCCGGTCCTTGGTGCCGGCCAGCAGCTCCAGGAACTCATCCTCGATGCGCAGCTCGTAGGCCTCGCCCAGCAACTCTTTGGAGAGTCCCAGGGACCACGTCCTTCGGGCGGAGGCGTCACCAGGAGACGGCCACAATGGCGCGCCAGGAGGCCATACCTGGAGCCACTCCTGGCGTTGGAGTCATCTTTCCCATCCCAAAAAACCATCTATAATCAGTTTGAAACTATCCAAGACTCAACCAACATCATCTGGCAGTGTGTCAAAACCTTGTACCCCTGGTGAACATCAAAATAGCTGGTAAATGGATGTTCATCCCCCTAAAAATTGTATTAATAGGTATTGACCCATACCCAATCTAGAAAATCATCCCAAAATCACCATCCCATCCCAACCCCCCAACGATCTCCTTCAGCAGTTCCGCCGCCGCCTGCGCCTCCGCAACCGCCTTCAGCTCCACCGGCGCCTGCAGCCCGGCGCTAAGCGCGAAGCCCGGCATCGTCGGCAGCGGCGACACCGCTGCAGCCTGCGGGACGCCGGGGAAGGTCGGCAACTCCAGGGGAGCCAGGCGCACCTCACGGCAGATTAGCCAGTGATTGGCAGTGATTGGATGATTTTTGGGTGCTTTTTGGATGATTTGGATAATTATTCATGGATCTTGGAGGATTTTTGGGATGAAGATGATGCAGAAATGATCCATTCTTGCATGATCCCCAAAATCCAATATGATTATCTTGGATTGTCTTGGATATGAGATAAAATTGGATCTTGGAAAATTGTTGGATATGATGATCCCCAAATGATCCAAATCGGAGGCCCCGAAAATCATAGAAGTCACGGTAGCTATAAATTTAAGTAGGGAAAACAAAGTTTGGAGTAGCCTTACTTCTCCTATTTTCGAGAACACCCAGATAGACTAAACAAACTAAAAAGCCAAAATATGGAGGTCTCAGGAACATGTCTGGCAGAAAATATGTGGGTTAGGTTGGCTGGGAATCTGTGGAAACACAGATATTCATCAACCCAAAATGATCCACCATGACCAAACTTTGGGTGGGAAAAAAAACACATATAGACAATAGGCAATCAATTTAGGTTTGAGACATAAAAATAAAAAACTTTTTTTTTCGAATCCGTGTCACCTGTGACTCACCCGGCAGTGCCAGCTGCACGTCGTAGATCTGCTCCTTCGAGTCTTCCGTGCACACGATGTGCAGGGCACGAGGGAGGTCCGACCTCGCCACAACCAGGTGCAACTGGATGCCAATATTTAGAAAATAAGCCCATGTTGAAACTGGAATAGTGGAGTAGCCCAGTAATGTTTTTTAATTGCTTTATAGAAAATGAGCCCATTTACTGGATTTTGAACATTTAGAAACCTCAAATAAGCCCATTCTGGGCTTCCCCCTACTCACAAAGCTTGTAAAATCGCCAGGTCATTGGGGATCCCGCAAGTGCCGCATGGATGGAGCTGCCAATTCCACCACAAAGGCTTTCACGTTGCCCGGGCTCAGGATCTCTGCCACTGAGGGTAGACACACCTGGGCCCACTGGGATGCCGAAGAGCAATTGGAAGTCTCTGCCACAATTTCCGACTGTATATGGCATATATGGATGCATATGGTTGATTTCATACCCATTCAAAAATGTGCCATTTTTGGTCCCCCAGTTTTTCTTCCGTTGTGTCCCCATCTGGCCACAAAAGGAATAGGTATTGAAAAGGTAGTCCCTCGCCGTATCACATCCTCATGTTCAACATATTTAAAACATTTTAACCCATAAAATCTTCCCATAGCTGGTTGTTTAACCATTTACCTCCCATTTTTTGGGTTCAACATTTCTTTCCCAGGTCATAATGTTGGAGACCCATTTGTTGGTGGTCAACTAATCCAATATGTACCTCACTCATATCCGTACCTATTGTGTGTAAGCAGGTAAATTATCCCCAGAAACGCTTTAAGAAATAATATATTATATATGGAATTATCAATGCTGCATACCATAATGCATAAATACATGCATCATAATAGCATACTGTATACAGTCATCCTGGAGAAAGTAGTAGAATCTTGTCATATCAAAACATCCATACTAAAATTCCATATTCATCCATATTGTACTCCGACGGATGACAGTTACAAATGGACAAATGTGCTAAAACCAATTTCATAAACCATCCCCAAGTCATCACCAATTTTATGGATGCTATAAACCATCCAAAAAGGGTGGTTCATTATTGCATACAATGCGTACTTGGCGTTACTTGGAGGATCATCCCACTTAGTAAATGCATGGTGATCGTAACACTGGTGATCATGCCATCAATGGATTGGTTTAAGGGAAAATTTTCAGGAAACCCCCATACTTAATGGTAAAAACAATGGTTTCCGGTAGAGATTTTCCCTCAATCCAATCACTAAAAATGCCAGTGGCTTCTCCCATCTATGGAAATTTCTTCACCACTTCTACGACCACTTCGTGATCTCGGTGTCCCCACATAGCTGCCGCTGCTGGCCATGGGCCTTCGCAGTACCACGGCCTTCATCCAGGTGAAGCACAGTTGCCAGGGCCCTTGCACCAAAGGCGCGTCGAAGGCGCTGGCGATGCTCAGAGTCACCACGGAACCTACGGCATCTTCGTCCACCAAGACCTCGAAAAGGCTGGAAAAATGATGGGAAAACCATGGAAAAAAATGCTAAACAATCTAAAACACCTGACTTTCTGGGAAAATTGCAAAAATTCAGCCACAACATTGGGAAAACTATGAAAAAACCATGTTTTTTTAGGAACATGGTTGAAAAAACATGGGAAAACATGTTTTTGGGGTGAAATTGCTGCGAAAAATGTGAACATGGGCTTGAAATGGCTTGAAAAATGGTGGAAATTCGAGAAAAGAACATGAAGAACACATGTGTTTTCCGAGACTTGTGGGAACCATGGAAGTTGTGATAAGGTGGGATGACATCAGAATCTGTTTCTAGCATGCACCTAGAGATTTTGTGGCAATGGGACGTCTTCACATACCAAGCTTGGGGAATGCGGCAGAGACAGAACCACATGCCTGGACTGCAGCTGTGAAGAAGCTTCTCGCCGTGTCATTCTGTGGGTTCAGGCAGCTCTCTGATCCTGCTATCTGCGGGAGTTGTGAAAGCCACACACCGAATGCAAACAAGAACATGGTGTGTGGCAGCGCGCTGCGCCATTGCTCAACCAACCAGAATATCAGTCTTGCAGCCTTTGAACAAATATGACACAAACTAGACTTGTGCCAGGTAGTCAAGACTTTGCACATGGGGAATACAGCATTATATAGTCTGTGTTAGAACTGAGTCCAGGAACAAATCATGAGTTGATCCTTGTGTGACATGAAATTAGTTCAAGCAAACAACATGAGCAGCCAATTACACAAATACATATGAGACTACCGCATGGATTCTGAGCTTGAAAGGCAGATCCATAGAATTTATCAGCTGGAGCGGTTTCTCTTCAGCTGGATGAGACTCAATGGGTAGTTTCGATGTCTTGCTTCGATCAGCTATCTTCCTAATCATAATCTTTCTAATCCGTCTATTTTCATCAATCAACCACTGCTTCTCGGGGTGAAACCGAAACCCTTTCAGCTGGCACCCCATCGCCCTGCTCGGCTTCGCTGCCATGCCATCTCCATCAAAGGGATGCATGATTTGATCGTCGCCCACCTCAGGTACGGAAGATGCCCCAACAAGGATAGGCCACCGGGTTTTACAACTAGGCCAGCCTGGCCTGGATTTGTAGTGGATAAATCTCGATAAATCTATTTATAGTTGGTCATAAACCAACAGACCCAACAGACCCGGGGGCACCATTAACTCGCACAACTCGGTAATTTACCGCATCCGGCCGCACCTTGAACTTCGCCGGGCCGTTGCGGAAGTAACTTCCGCGTAAGCCTTTTGGCAAGGCCTGCGGCGATGGCTGGACTTCCCATGTGTTGATCAATGGATGGATTTTCTCAACGGCCATCTCAGGAACCTAAATTGGAGGTACTTACCATATAAGGCCTTATAAGGCCTATTTTTCAGGCCTAAATTTCAGGGAAATATCCCCACAAAATATGGCCAGAAATATGGTACTAACGTACCTCCATTTTAGTATCCTGAAATTCCCATTGATTTTCCATTCGGAACACTTTTTCCCCAAGGTATGGAGATTCTCCAGATGAATCTCAATCTCGATCGCGTGGAACCTGCAAATTCTGGTTGCGAATTTGAAAAGATGAAACACATGTGTAGATCAAATATAATACACAGTGTATAATATATAATTATATGTCTGTATATATATATATATAATATATATATATGACTATAACACATCTTGCAACCCTTGTTGACACCCAGTAACCTCTGAGAAAATCCTCCATCACCCAGTGGCCTCAGAATAGAGGCTGCAACAGGTTTCCTCCTGGGCCTCAGTCTGCTCATCACATGCAGGGAAGATGATGCATTTTTTCCCTGCAAATCTACAGGAAAAAACTTGGAGTATATATATATATAATATAATATAATATATATATATATATAATATATATATATATGGACAAAATCGGACAGCTGGCAAAACAACGAACAAAGGTAGGAAGATTTCATGTCTCCGTCTTGGACCTCAAATTCATGTTTGCAGCCAAATATATGGGGTTGCTGTAAATTGTCCCACTATATGCAGGTTTTCTCCCACTATATCCGATATCCCCATTAATTCCAAAAAAAAACACATGTTCATATTCATATTCCGATCTTTGTAACGGGACTCCTCTACTCCCAGCATTTTCGATCAGGGCCCTGGACTGAGTTGTATCCCTGAATCCAAGCCTGATCTGGACCCCGGCGGGTTTACCGTCATCAAAGGTGTTGAAAAGTTGCACTAGAGATGGATCTTGGATCTAAAATCTTATCTGGTTGGTGGTATACCTACCCCTCTGAAAAATATGAGTTCGTCAGTTGGGATCATTATTCCCAATATATGGGAAAATAAAATTCATGTTCCAAACCACCAACCAGTTATAGATTGATGATCCAAAGTTTTTCATAATACATATGATAGATCTATAGTTTTCAACCATCTATAATCTATAATCTATATATGATTCTATGAAGATATTGTAGATCCTTGAACATATGATGGATCTTGGAGGGATGGCATATGATTGATATGACAAAATGTTGTAGCTATATCATCTTTTGTGCGTAGCATAACACCCAAAAAAAGATCTGGTCGGAAGAAACTGAGTCATCAGAAAGGTTAGGAAAACAATAATGGGAGACATGGATATATGCACAAGAAATACGAACAGAAAACATGATTGTGTTACCCACTCTACAGAAACTCGCAGCGATGGGAATAGAACTGGTTCAAAGCCTGTGCCCCACAGGCTTTAGAGGCCAACATCCCCGGGATGACGCCTCTCGGTCATATCCTCGCTTATCCGTCACCTCTGATGTCTCCTACCACTTCGGGGCATCGGCTGATGAGGTCTTGGGCAAGAACTGAGACGTCGCAAAAAGGTCAGGAAAGAATCACTTGGGAAAAAATTGTTCGTTAAATCCCATCAACATTAACAATGACTAGTTTACAAACCATTAACATTAAGTCCTTAACCATTACATATCATTATCATTATATCATGAAATCCATTATATCATTACATCCATGAAGTCATTAACCATTACGTATCATTACATCCAGGACCATTAACCATTAACATTAACCATTAACCATTAACATTAACCATTAACCATTAACATTAACCATTAACATTAACCATTAACATTAACCATTAACATTAACCATTAACATTAACCATTAACATTAACCATTAACATTAACCATTAACATTAACCATTAACATTAACATTAACCATTAACATTAACCATTAACCATTAACATTAACCATTAACATTAACCATTAACATTAACCATCAACATTAACCATTAACATTAACCATTAACATTAACCATTAACATTAACCATTAACCATTAACCATCAACCATTAACCATCAACCATTAACCATCAACCATTAACCATTAACCATTAACCATTAACGATTAACCATTAACATTAACCATTAACCATTAACCATTAACCATTAACCATTAACCATTAACCATCAACCATTAACCATTAACCATTAACCATTTACCATTAACCATTTACCATTAACCATTAACATTAACCATTAACCATTAACCATTAACCATTAACCATTAACCATTAACCATTAACCATTAACCATTAACCATTAACCATTAACATTAACCATTAACCATTAACCATTAACCATTAACCATTAACCATTAACCATTAACCCATTAACCATTAACCATTAACCATTAACATTAACCATTAACCATTAACCATTAACCATTAACCATTAACCATTAACCATTAACCATTAACATTAACCATTAACCATTAACCATTAACCATTAACCATTAACCATTAACCATTAACCATTAACCATTAACCATTAACCATTAACATTAACCATTAACCATTAACCATTAACCATTAACCATTAACCATTAACATTAACCATTAACCATTAACCATTAACCATTAACCATTAACCATTAACCATTAACCATTAACCATTAACCATTAACCATTAACATTAACCATTAACCATTAACCATTAACCATTAACCATTAACCATTAACCATTAACCATTAACATTAACCATTAACCATTAACCATTAACATTAACCATTAACCATTAACCATTAACCATTAACATTAACCATTAACCATTAACCATTAACCATTAACCATTAACCATTAACCATTAACCATTAACCATTAACCATTAACCATTAACCATTAACCATTAACCATTACCATTAACCATTAACCATTAACCATTAACCATTAACCATTAACCATTAACATTAACCATTAACCATTAACCATTAACCATTAACCATTAACCATTAACCATGAACCATTAACCATTAACCATTAACCATTAACCATTAACCATTAACCATTAACCATTAACCATTAACCATTAACCATTAACCATTAACCATTAAACATTAACCATTAACCATTACCATTAACCATTAACCATTAACCATTAACCATTAACCATTAACATTAACCATTAACCATTAACCATTAACATTAACCATTAACCATTAACCATTAACCATTAACATTAACCATTAACCATTAACCATTAACCATTAACCATTAACCATTAACCATTAACATTAACCATTAACCATTAACCATTAACCATTAACCATTAACCATTACCATTAACCATTAACCATTAACCATTAACCATTAACCATTAACCATTAACATTAACCATTAACCATTAACCATTAACCATTAACCATTAACCATTAACCATTAACATTAACCATTAACCATTAACCATTAACCATTAACCATTAACCATTAACCATTAACCATTAACATTAACCATTAACCATTAACCATTAACATTAACCATTAACCATTAACCTTAACCCAAAATTTGTTTTAAAAACAACCATTAACCAGAACCATTAACCATTAAGGAACAGAGAATTTGGGCTCTTAAATCTGATGAACACTCCTGAGCACTGATCAGCACCTTTTCACTCAGTCAGCTCGAAGGTAGCTGAAAGCACTAAAATGGCTGCAGCACATATACAAACATATATGCTACATGTGACATAGTCTACACTGTACACATATCTGATCACGCCTCCCGAGCCTGTTTAAAACGGCGCTCCCGTCCAATTATTTGAACTAGGCGAGTTTTGATATGTACAGCTACTCATAGCCACGCTCAAGCCATCTATGCTCTCAGTGTCAGGTGATGCTCACCTTCCAGAAAGTGAAAATTCATATTTCGCAAGGCTTTATTCATTTTCTCTTCTATGACGGGTTTCGTCAAGACGTCGGCAAGCATATCGCCAGTGTCGACCTTCTTCAGCCGAAAATAGCGCTTGGCAACGCGGTCTTGTACCCAATGGTATTGAGTATCCACGTGCTTGGCCTTGCCTAGTCCTCTGCGAGAACCCATTGCTATTCCTGCACTTGCATCCATGAAAACTTCACTCTCAGGTTGCAAACCCCCAGTCTTTGGCGGTTGAAACTTCTCCCAGCAAATTGCTGGCACCGCTCACAAGAGCGTAATACTCACTCTCTCCAGACGAAAGACTAACAACTCCTTGTCCTTTAGAATAAGTCTTGATACAACAACCTCCGGCCATCAGGACGCCTCCTGACACGCTCTTCCTCGTCTTCACGCAACCAGCGTGGTCAGCATCAGACCACATCACAAATGGACTGAGTTTGCTCTGATGAGGAAAGAATTGTGCCATGCGTGGTCGATACCTTAGGTATCGTGCAACTCGTTTGAGCATAAGCATGTGGCTGGTAGTTGGTCGTTGTAGCCCTTGTGCTAAAGATCTTGTCGCTACTTGCAGATCTGGTCGATCTTGTGCCAAATAAGCTGCTCGCATTGCAACTGATCTGTACTGGGTTGCTTCTTCATCATCGAGAAAAACAGTGGCGTTCTTGAGGTCTTCCACTGAACCCTTGGCAAGTGGTGTCTTGACTTTGGCTCCTCGGGGACCATCTCCGAGTAAATCAATCACCAACTCTGCATGACGTGCATCTGGTTCCCACCAAATTCCATCCTCCTTCCATGTGATAATTCTGTTCAGGACTCTGATGTCCTGGATGGTGTTTGGTGTTCCTGGTGGTCCTAAAATACCACGTTACACACATTTCCACTTCTTCGACAGCTCTTCATGAAGCCATTTGATGTTGTCAAATGTTCCGGCTGTTGTAAAATCATCTCCATGTACAACAGTTCTGAGGTCTCGGCCTGCATGGTAGTAAATGCATGGATTGCTTTTTCCTTGCTTGAAACCTAAGGCTAACATAACCTTCTGTATTTGCAACTCCCAGTTGAGAGGTGCGTCTCTGGTTCCATACAAAGACTTGAGCAATCTTCCTACCACATCTTCTCCAGGCTTCTTTGCTTCTGCAGGAAGTTCCACATAGATCTCACGCGTCGCATCTGAGTAAAAGTGGGCGCGTTTCACATCCAAAAATCCTAGAAGTCTACGCTTGCGATAGGCTTCCTTGACAGCTTTTCCAGCGTCTGGCAACTGAAACGTGACGGCTATTGTAACTAGCATCTTCAAAGCCGACAAACTGGGCATAGCTGCGAAGAACTCATCAAAACCTGAGCCCTTCTTGACTTCTTGAGCTACTAACCTACTTCTATAAAGTGGATTCTCTTCATCCTGCTTGTTGACATCTACCCATCGTGTTCCAATGGTGCGTACCCCTTTGGGCATCTTGTGTCTGGGAATCTTTTCCCAAACTGGAAAACTTTCGATGATTTCGACCTCATCTTTTCTGGCTTGTTCTACACCTTTGCTGTCTAAAATCTTTCCACT